AATTCTTGGAGAAGGATTGAGGACTTTCTCCTTTTTATCTAAGATACAGAGAATCATATGGAGTTTATGCTAACAATGCTCTGCATTGAATGGTTTCTGAAGGGCCTGATTGCGATAGCGAGAGCTTTATTATCGCTTTCGATCTCGAGATCGAACAACATCGTGTGGTGGAGTTACCAGATGGCTTGGATATTAGCTTTGATATGAAAGTGAAATCAATGAGAGGTTGTCTTTGTTTGATTGCAGACTATTGGGAACTTAAGTTTGTTGATATATGGATAATGAATGAGTATGAGGTGAAAGAATCTTGGACCAAGTTATTATCGGCGAAGCATTCCAAGTATTTTACTGGTTTCGAATTCGTGTTAACGATTGCCTTTTCGAAGGATAGTGACAAAGTGCTATTGAACTTTGACCAATAGTAATTTGTCTGGTACGACCAAAAGCAGAAAAGAGAGAAGAAAGGGAGAAATAACAAAGCAAAAGGGTATCCATGTTTTAATAGCCTGATTTATTTAGTTTTGGGTAGCCCATATGACAAAGGACTTTGGGTAAACTCTCCCTATGGTCCTTCAACTATTATGGGTAAATTTCTCCATAGCCAGTCAAATACTGTGGTTAAATTCTTCTTCTGGTCCCCCTATCTTTGATGCACCATGTAACATAATCAATTTCTTTGTAATTTAATTTTGATGTTTAACTTTGATTATTGTCAATCTAACCCCTATTTTATTTTCATTTATGATTTGATTTAATATTTTTTATTTAATTATTATTCTATTTTCACTAACATTTTTTGTCTTTTCGTAGGTTTCTTTTTTTATTTCGTTTATTTTACTACTTTTAATTTTTTTTATTTTTTTCCATTTGATTTATTTAATATTTATTTATTATTTTTTATCTAACATTTTTTACTTTTTGGGGGATTTTTTAATCAATCAAAGGTAATTAATATGAATCGATTTTTTTAAATTTTAATTTAGATTTCAATTTTTTGCAATTAAGACAATCGACAAATTAATTGGTATCGAAAGGGTAGTACAAAGGTGATAATATTTCCTTGACTGTAACCGAATCCCGAACCCGACACATTTATGGTAAAACGCAGATCAGGTAAGATGGTGTCCAATCAACCTAAATATTATTTTTAAATGATCGATGGCGGCTCTATCATTTTATTCAAGTTGAAGCCCAATTCCGGGCCCACCCGAAAGACGGCCGTGATAGGTACTTCTTTAAATTCGAGGACAAATGTTTCTTAAGGGGGAGAATCGAAATGCCCCAAATATCGAATTAGGGACTTTATTGAAAAGATTTAAAATGTGAGAATCTATTTGATAAATTGATAAAAGATGAGAAATGATTTAGATGAGTGGTTTAGACTAAAGTGTAACAAAGGATAAGAAAAAAAGGCATTTTAGTCTTTTATAGGAGAATGAATTTTAAATTCATTTTCTTTAGTGTATATTAAAGAAAAGAAAAGGGGAAAGTAAGGGATTCAAAAAGCTATCTTTCTTTCATTCTGCTTCATGTGGAAAAAAAAAGCCCTCATCCATAGCTAAATGTGAGTTTTCAAATTACTAGTTTATTTCTTCGTTTTTGGTTGGGTTTTGAAGCATTGAGAATACTAGAAGCTTAAGGAAGGATTAAAGGTGATCAAAAATAAGATATGGATGAGATAATAGAGATTAAAGAAAATGAGTTTTTGAGTGATATGTTAAAATATGAGTGTTTATGGATGTTTACTAGTAGATTTGACTTATCAAAGAGGTAAATGAGAGTTTAGAAGCATTGGATAGGATTAAGAACACATTAGGAAAAGTGGTGTGATTATTAGAATTGAATTTTATTGGAAGATGTTAGATGTTTTAAGGAAAAAAATGAAGGCAAATTAGTTTGGATAATTAAAGAAGAGTTTAATAGGATTATAGGGTATAAGCAAACCAAAAATTAACCTCATTTGGGTGATAATAAAATTGAAAAATAGAAATTCTGGGCATGAATATCAGTACTGATAGAATAATATCGATACTATAGGCTTAAAATCAGTAAAATTTGCTGGGTAGTATCAATACCGATTCAAATGGTATCGGTACCAAGAGAGGAGTATAGATACTATAAGGATGGTATCGATACCATGGATCACAGAATGCAAAAATGGTATCGGTACCGAAATGGAGTATCGGTACCATAGTATAGTAGTATCGATACCATGGTAGGGGTATTGATACTATGGAGCCAGAAATATTAAAAATAGGCTGATATTGTTATAGAAGTTAACGATATGTCCTTTTGAGTATTATTTAAGTATAATGGTTAGGAAATATACTAACATTGGGTATGGTACATGTTTTAATGGATGCTTGAGTAGATCGAAACCAAGCTCCTAAGACAAGCAAAACTAAGGGAAAAGGCAAATTACTGGAGTAATTAGCCTTACGTTTTGGATACATAGCAAGGAAAGTCAGGTGAGTGCATTTATTCTGTTCATTAAGAATTATAAATAAATTTTGTTAAAAACATATATTGCAATGGTATATCAGTACTAAGTGTACTACATGCACTATGTGTGCAAAACTACAAAATTCGTCATGAGTTGATGAATAACCGTACAAGCACTATGTGTGCAAAACCACAAAATTCATCATGAGTTGCTGAATAACCGTACATGAACTATGTGTGCAAAACCACATAATTCATCATGAGTTGATGAATAACCGTACAGGCATTATGTGTGCAAAACCACAGAATTCATCATGAGTTAATGAATAACTGTACAGACACTGTGTGTGTAAAACAACGAAATTCATCACGAGTCCGTACAGGCACTATGTGTGCAAAACCACGGAATTCATAATGGGTTGATGAATAACCGTACAGACACTATGTGTGCAAATCCATGGAATTCATCATGAGTTGATGAATAATCGTACATGCACTATGTGTGCAACCCACATAATTCATCATGAGTTGATGAATTACCGTCTAGGCACTACTTGTGCATTCTAATAATTGAACATGAATAAAAAGTGAGTAAATTACCATATTAGCACTAATGGTGCAAAGTTATAAGGTTTATAATAAATTGTAAAGAGTTGCTCGATATTATAATTGTTACCTTACATTTATGTTTATAAGTTGCTTATGATTAAGTATGCCTCACTAAGTAATACTTAATGTGTGTTTATTTCATGCGTAGGTTGAATACTAGCTGAGTAAGGTGATCATCGGACATCAAGTCAGAATCGCCTCATCAGTAATAGTATGACATACCTGTCTACTTTTGATATATTTTAGTTTGCATGTAATAGGTTTAGTAAAAACGCTCTGAAAAGCTTTTGAATTAAACTACTGTAAAACGGTGAAATGTTGAACATCTTTTTTTGTTTGTCTATTTAAGTTTAATGCATGTTTTAATTATAAGTAAATTATAATGGTTTATAAAATAAAATAAAATTGTACGGATTTTCAGAGGGGAAACTATTTTAAAAGTGACGTGACATCTGTAGCTCGTATACATAAAGGTATACGAGAGATGGGTGTTACATTAAGGAGGTTTAAACTCATTTCTGGGCATATCTTTGTGGGTCTTACAATTGGAGCCAGAAGTAACTTGGGTTGTGATGATCCAAGATGATGTGGGATGAATGATGAGTGAGTTTTCTTCCTTTAACTCTTCAATCTCCATGTGGGCGTGTACTTACTAATAAAGGTTGGAATGCAGTTTGGAGTTTATCTTTGAGTAGTTTGGCCCGTTCTCTTATGATTGGGCTTAGTGGTTGGGTGAGCCCATTTTCCTTAGCTTTTGTGTGTGTGGTGTATGTATCAACCTTTTCTAAGTTCATCATCTCAAATTTAGTGGACAAGAAACTTTTAGTTTTGTTAATGGATTCAATGTTAGTACTAAATAACATGTCATCAACATACAGACTTATGATGACACAATCAGTCATAAACATCTTCGAATACAACATGCATCCTCTCCATTTACAATAAAGTCAAAACTCATAATTGTTTTATAAAATTTCTCATACTACTGGTTTAGAGCTTGTTAAAGTCCATAAAGTGACTTTTTAAGTCTACACATTTTTTCTTCCGAGGTGTAACAAAACATGATAATTGCTCCATATAGGTCTCTTTGTATGGATCTCCATTTAAAAATACAGTCTTTACATCCATCTGATGTACGTGCAACTTATAAATGGACGCTATCGCAAACAAGGCATAGATCGTTGAGATTTTCGTGATAGGACAGTATGTGTTGAAGAAGTCTATACCAACCTTTCGAGTAAACCCTTTGACTACTAACCTTGCCTTATATCTTTGGATTGACCCATCCGATCTAAGTTTCTTTCTAAAAACTCACATAGAGTTGTTTGGTCTAAACCCTCTAGGAAAATCTAAGGTTGCTTAATAAGTTGAACACATTGAACTCAACTCAAGTTGACTCGACTCAAACTTGAACTCGACTCGAGACCTTAACGAGCTGAATCGAATAAAGTACAACTCGACTCGAAAAGTCCGCAAATAACTCATTAATTTTTTATAACTTTTTAGTAGTTATCTTAAAAAATTATTTTATTAAAAAATAGTTTATTTCTGAGGCTATTTCAGGCTAATGCAATCTATATGTTTCCTTAAAAATAACGTAAAGAAAATAATTTTCAAATGTCAAAACTCAATTGAATTCTACGGTACAACCCCTTATAATTTATTATAAGGTTACTATAAGATATGACCTAAAATATTATGAATCATCATAATATTTTTTGTTGCGTGTAATTTAAAATATTTTTTTTTTATTTTTTTCAATTACACATATTTTAGATTACAATCGATAATGATATCATTTTTATAATATTTTAAATTACAACTAAAAATATTAAAAAATATAATCTATTAAGTTATGCACAACCTAAAATATGATATTATTTATAATATTCTAGATGGTGTTTTATAGAATTCCAAAACTCAAACTAGTAGAGGGAATAAAACACAACTCTACCGCGTATTTAAGTGAAGACCTTAAAAACATGCGATCATATATTTGCACCATTTTCTTTTTCCGGCAAGTATATATTTGCGCCATTTACTCTATCAGATTTCTCTACATATTCATATCCTCGAGCTTCTTCAATCCATGTGGGTGGCGTTTAACTTCTAGCTTTCTAGGCAAAACTTGTGCAACGATTCGGTCGCTTTTACATGATACTTCGATCGAAACCCAAAGGCTTTCACTGGTTCTCTTCTACGTTTCGGGTTCAGCAGCAGCCTCCTCTAGTCCGAGCTTGTCGATATGGAGGCGGAAGAAGGAAATGGCCAAAGAGGGATTGATTGCGGCGAAGGAGCTTAAGCGCCTCCAGTCTAACCCGGTCCGACTGGACCGCTTCATATTCTCTCACGTCTCTCGCTTGCTCAAGTCTGACCTTGTATCCGTCCTCGCTGAGTTGCAAAGGCAATATCAGGTTTTCCTATCCATGAAGGTACTCTTTCTGTTCGTAGAAATGTCGCAAAGAGATGTACTAAATAAGAAGGCACTCAACTTGAACGTATCGCATATTAGACTCGCATTAAACTAAATTTAACTACTTTTCTAAAATAATGGGATGTACTTAGCCCTATGAGGCTTAGTGCGTCACTGAAGGTAAGAGACAACATATTGGCTACTCGCTTCTCCTTGGCTACCCAGAGATAGAGAACACATCACTATGCACATCTGAATGAATTGCTTAAAAATCTGAATTTTCCAATATCCATTGCAACATTAACTTATGTCATAGTTTTACCCCTTGCATCTGTGCCATCTAAATGGATGTTACAGCAATGGCGGAACTTGGTTAAAAAGTTTGGGTCCATTTTACCTTAATTTTGATTGATTTAATTTATCTTTTTTTAACGGTGTTTAACTAAAAATTTTAATAACTTTGAGAGTGAGAACTTTTTCTTGAAGGACTTAATGAAAACTTCTAAATGTCATGAAAGGGGATTTAACTAAAAATCCAATTTTTTTGAATCTAAATGTTAAATTTTCAAATTTATAGGGGTCAAATTATTTTTAGAAGAATTTTGAAGGATCAAATTCTATTTTTTCAAAAAGTTGGGGGCCATGGCGGCCTGTAGTCCTCACTACGGTTGATAACTATTTTCAGCTTGATTTTTATTTTTTTGGGATGATAATGTGTCGCAATCCAATGTATCATATCATAAAAAAATGAAAAAAATTAAGTTTGAAAAATTATTAAATTTAATGATTAGACATTGATTTATTTTTTTATTTAATTTAAAATTTAACCGAGTCAACCCGAAGTAAAAAAAATGTTGGGCATGGCACAATTGGGCCGGGGAGGACCATCAACCACAATGCAGAACAAGGCAAAAATAAACGACAGCGTTGAGCCGAGAATAAATGTGTATACAAAGTGACGCCGGGTAGGGCCTGGCCGGATATTGGAATGAGGCACGCAATTTCATAGCAATCACTCAAAATGGTTAGTTATGATTAAGTATGCCATTATGTAGATTACTTGCAAATTTAATATTTATCCTACATTAGCATGCATATTGGTAACATTTAACATTTATCCTACTTTAGTAAAGCCCCAGCCTCTACTTAGCTTGCAAATATAATAGATACCAAATTAATATAATAACAACTAATTTATTAACTTTCCTAAAAAAATCTATTTCAATGAGCCAATGAAGCTTTAATAGTTGCATTCATGTTATGTAAATCAAACATTATTTTAGAAAAATATTTAGATAATTTTTTTAGATTTAATATTCAATAAAGATCAAAATGATGGATTAATGAAATTTTAGAATATAAAAATTTAATTACATATATTTTTTTAAAAAAAATTATTAACTTTTTCCCCAAAAATTTAATAGTTCTAACGCAATTATGCCAATAAATTAATATTAAATCATAAAAACACGGTGTCCAATTATATACAATGGAGTAAAGAAAAAACTAGTCGAGAAAAGGAAATGAGTTAATTCGCAAGAAAGCTTGTTCACTCGACTACTATGCGTCAACGAATGTCGTATTATAAACACCCTTCTTTCTCTCTTTCAGTTGCGGGTCTCAGCAAACAAATCTCATATTATCTGCCATTTCTAAGAAATCCCATTATATTTTCTTTTTTCAATTCGAAGTTAGTTTCTTGGTTTATTCCATAAAAAAGATTTAATCGTAGATTTGCCGACATGACTTCATGTTACCGCCGTATAACGATTGGACCCACCGCCATGAACATTCCGGTTCAACCGCTGAAGTCAAGACATCCGGTCGAGATTCCACTCTTCCCTCGTTGTTCGTACAATAATATCCAATTCTCATTTGGAATCTCTCTGCGACCGAGAAATTTTCGGAGAGTTCAGGCGGTGCGGCCAGAGGGAAGATCGGAGGGCGGAGATAACGCGGAGAAGGTGAGACCGGGACCAGGGCGTTGTTTTTACTCGGTGGAAGATCGAACAGTGGAGGTTGAAAAGGGAGAGAAGAACCGGACGGTGGAGGTGGTGTTAGCAGCGGCGATGACGGTGGTGTTTGGGGTAGGGAATCGGGTACTCTATAAGCTGGCGTTGGTTCCTCTCAAGCGCTACCCATTTTTCTTGGCTCAACTCGCCACATTCGGGTAACAAAATTAACTGCCATTATTATTGGGTTTTTTTCCTGGTTTCTTGCTTTTATTTAATTATAAAATGAAAAGAAAACATTATTTATTGCTTTTATTGTTTCCACGTCATTAATTCTGTTTTACCTGGTGCGTTAATATAATAGTGGTTTAAAACTTTAAATTATACAATCTAGAATGTTTTGATTAGTGGCCATCAATGGTGACTTAGAAGGCTTTATAAGTAAAGCACTGTGAGCCTGCTTTTTAAACCTACTTAAATTGATTTAGAGAATGTTCTTTTCTAAGCTCTGTGATGAATTTAGCATTAGAATATGAAAGAATATGGGTAAAGCTAGAGCACAGAATGGGGTTGCATGATTTAGCCTGCTTTTGCATAGGGAAAAATTAAAAAAGTACTTTTACTGATTTTAGCAGGCCTTCTAAACTTGAAAATCTATAATCACGTGTAAATAATATATATATATATATATATTTCATAAGATGACATGTAATTTATTAAAGAATATCAACTTAGAAAAGCAAAATACTGAAAAAGAAATGATAAAGGTCATATTGATCTTTACAACTGGTGAGTGGTGGGTTAAAATGGAAAAAAAAATCCTTGGACAAAACCCAAAAGGAAGGTATGTTAATTAGTCATATATAAAAGAGAGGAGGGCATTAAAAGATGGCTTTTACATTAAAAAAAGGGATGTTCTGATATGTAATCATTACCCGGATTTATTACACTTATGGTTCCCTGGTGGCTCAAGGTACCTTTGCCTTTACGTTAGACACTGCCCCCCATCTCGAATAGCTTGCGTATTTGCTTTCGGTTTGTGGTCTTGGATAAACCTTTCCCCTTTTGGCATTTTTTATATCGGCGTCTATTTTGGTTTTGAGCGAATCTAGTGGTGTGTATACTATATGCTTAATATCTGAATTCAAATACCTTTTAATTTTTTTATCAAAAACTTTTCAAATATCGTCTATTTATAAATATAAGATTTAGCTCTGTTAATTCATGCATCCATGCATTCTTAACAACTTACATCAACCAGGATTTAGATTCAGAATCCCAGTATCTTCAGCCTTCCTCAAGCCGTAATGGCATTTCTTTTGTACTAAAAAGAGTTCATTGGCAATTATAGTATTTTTTTTATTTATCTTCTGAGTTGTAGTTCTAAGTATCTTTTGAAAAGATGATGTCGCTATTTGCACTAATATTTTAGTATCAAAGTTCAAATATTGTCTTGGATACTGTCTATGTTAAATCTGTGTAAACGTGTCTTATGTTATTTATTTATTTGGTAACGACGTGTCTATTTTATTGAAACACAGTCACACGCGCGCACACACACACATCTATATATATTTTTGATTAAACACACACACATATATATAGTTCTCTGATTTGAGTACATGTTCTTAGTCTATTTTAAATGATATGTATTGATCAGTTATGTTAACGTTTACAAAAGCATGCGTATACCATCTGTTGAGCCTGATTTGGTTGGCTCTACCTTTAATTTTTCTGTTCTGTTAAGACCTCTCTTATTTTACTCAAAATGGACGCTAAATGAATATTGAAGCTGCTGAAATTTTTTTTATAATCAATTGATTCCATTAACTCAAAGAGTTGTATTTGTTTGCTGGAAATCTATTCCCTGCTAATGCCTTTCTCACTCTTGATCTGTTGTTTTACAGGTATGTAGTTGTATATTTTTCTGTAATGCATCTTCGGTATCATGCTGGTATTGTCACAGATGAGATGCTTTCCATGCCAAAAGCTCCATTTCTTGGTGTTGGCCTTTTGGAGGCTCTTGCTACTGTGACTGGAATGGCAGCCGGAGGTTAGCTTATGCTTATATTTCTTCCTTTATTGTCTACTTCACACGCTAATATTAGGAGAACAAATTTGCATGGTGATTTTGTAATTTGTTTTGTCAGTATAAAACCACTCGGTGTGAAACTAGTTCTCTTTATTATTTTCTTCTTAATTGAAGTTTAAATAAACATGAATTTTTTGGGAGTAAATAGGATTTAATTTAACTTTTTTTTTGGTACAGTTCAATTCTAATATACATGTTTCTTTGTCTTTGTTCAGCTATTCTATCTGGGGCATCAATTACAATTTTTTCTCAGGTAAGGAACATTTACTGCTTATATTTAACTTCAAATGGAACTCCCATTCGCACTAATGCCTGTATTGGGCCACAAATGTTGCTTTCAAGTATGAATTGCTAAAGGAAAAAGATTCTTGGTCTGAAGGCCGATTCTACATCTATGCCTTAATGACTGAGGACGATATGGTAAACCAGAAGCTATTTTTGAGTGAATAATAGCTAAAATAATCTTTTAAAACAACCAAGTAGATTTATACATGAAGTGAAGTAGAACAATTCTGAGAGATGATAAACCAAATGCATTTTGGGAGAAATGATAACTGAAAGATCTTAAAAAGATCCTAGTGGATTTGGACATGTAGAGAGGCTGAACAATGTTGTTAAAAAAAGGGCACTAAAAGCTATAAAAATGTCCAAAGTTATTGGTCAAACGTGTAAAAGTCGAAGTAAGAAGAAATTTACATCCGAGTGATTCTGTCAAGCTTGATAGAGTTTGTAAAACTAAAAATTCTTATGCGTAAGCACTGAATAGTTACTTTGGTCTATGACTTCTGCAGACATTTCTTGTGTGGCAAATACTCTTGTCCATTATTTTTCTTGGGAGGAGATATAGAGTAAATCATTTACTTGGATGCTTTCTTGTAGCTGTTGGTGTAATCATAACTGTAGCAAGGTAACTTGAAACTGTTTCGACTTCTAATCTTCCATCGACACATCTATTCAATTTGCTGGTGTAGTTTCTAAATGTTTCTTTTGGAACTGTCAATACTTAAAAATTTGCAGTTTTCAGTGAGGTTAATTGCTGTAAGTCTCGTAAGAACTAGCGTCCGTTGAAAATTATATTTATTGCCTGCATTTTCTGCAGTGGATCCAGCACTGGTCATTCATTGAAGGAAGCTGGCATATTTTGGAGTTTAATGATGATAATTTCCTTTTTGTTGCAAGCAGCTGGTACTGTGCTAAAGGTTATTTTCTTTTTCGTCAAAGTCTAAGAAGCTGTTTATATTTCTCAGTTATATTGTAATTCAATACTTTAACCAGCGATATTTTAACCATTTGTAGGAAGTAATCTTTTTGGATGGCGCTGAGCGATTAAAAGTATGATGTTTACTGTTGGAAAGCTCTTTGCATCCTGTTGGTCAAATCCCAAACGTGAAAGATTATTATTTTCTTGAATTTGTTGCAGGGTGGTTCAGTAGATCTATTTGTTGTCAACTCATTCGGGTCTGCATTTCAAGCAAGTATCGAGTGCTGAGCTTTTTAGTGGCTCTTTTTTCTAGTATGATTATTGATTAGATGTTAATGTTCATTGTACCATGCTATTGCAGGCCTTATTCATTGGCATACTTTTACCCTTTTTTCCAAAACTTTGTGGCATTCCATTTAGTCAGCTAGCAAACTATCTTAAAGATGGGGCAGCTTGTTTCTTGAACATTGCTGGTACCTTATCAAGCGGTAAGGCATACTTATTATCTTTCTATCCATTGCAAAAGGCAACAATTATTTCAAGTGGATTTGTATCTTGGATAGAACAAATTAACTCGGTTAATTTGAAATTCTGCTCGCCACAGGATGTGATGGTGCGCCACTACTGCCTTTGCTGTTCGTTATCGTCAACATCGGTTTCAACATATCATTGCTACATCTACTCAAGATATCTTCCGCAGTAGTCTCCTCACTGGCATCTACTTTCTCAGGTATGTTATTGCTTTTCTGTCATCCTTTCATATACCATCAGTTTCTTAGTTGCAAGCAAGCAACTGCGCTCAACTTACCGTTTATATCTCCAAGTCCAATCGATCGATGATATTCTGTTGTTGCAGTACCCATTGCAGTCTATATCTTCACATTGCCGCTGCCATATCTAGGGGTAGCATCACCGCTTCCAACTGGTTTCGTTGCAGGAGCAATCATCCTAGTTATCGGGTTGCTCATCTATGCTTGGTCACCATCCAGTTCTTCCAGTGCCTTGCCATCACCACCTCCCAACTAGAATGTGAGAAAGCCATTGTTGTATCATTTGTATGGCAAGTGATGGGGTAAGAGAGAGAGGAGAGAGAACATCGATTCTAGTTGTTTGAGAAATATAGGAAATCCAAGTGTATTGATTTTAACACAATGCTCATATAGTTCATTAGAAAAACATAATACAATACTAATTTTCCCTCAGCACATCGAGGTTCATGCTGGTGCTGACATGATGTGTAATTTCTTTTTTGAAGATAACACCTGTGATTTTTCATTTCAAAACCGTCCCCCCCCCCCCTCAATTTGAGATGGTCGGCAGCCGTGGCCGACTGCCTCTAAAACGCCAAGTCAATTCTCATACTGTAAATCAAAATTCCATGTCAAGGCAAATCTATAGATAGTTCGTAAACGCATGCGAATCACACAATTCAAACAACAAATGCCATAGTATTTAGCTGCTATTAGGCCCTTAATTGGAATACTTCATATAAAACCCTAAACTCCCAAATCAAAGAAGATGACCCCCATATTATTTAGAAGTTCACTTATCTTTAGTAGAAACGCCGTATTTCTCTTGCATCATGGCGATTTCTTCTTCCTTCTTCTTCTGATCGAACTTCTTGCTCATCTTGGCCTGCTGATAATACAAGACGATCAAATACCTATTGGCCACGTTGAAACCCGAGAGATGATCCACTGCCGTTTTGGCATCGTATATGTCTTCATATACGACGAATGCGGTGCCGCGCGTTTCTTTGCTGGTCCCGATGCGGATCTGGCGGATAGCTCC